ACCCTCAGGGAGGTCCCCAACCAAAGTGGGAATTAATACGTTTAATGAAGAGGGATTCAGGGCAAGAATCAGATTTCCTGCAACCTCCCCACCAGCTTTGGCTGGTTAACTCCTTCGTATCTTTACCTAACTCAGCTCAAATGCCACCCTTTTTTGAGCTTTAAGTTTTTGGTGTTGTAAAATAGGCCTAACGTGAAATTTGCCACTGTCATCGTGTTAGGCATACGGTTTCGCAGCATTAAGTGTATGCACGTTGTTGTGCGACCGTCGGTACCATCGACTTCCAGAACTTTTTCATCTTCCCCGACTGAAACCCTGTCCCAGTGAAACAGTACTTCCCCCGTTGCCCCCACCAGCCTTTGGAAGCCACCCTTCTATTTTCTGTCTCTGTGCATTTGACCACTCTAGGGATCCAACGCTGCTTTTTTAATTTTTAAGCTTTTATTGTTTTTATTTTATTTTATTATTTTTTTTAAAGTGTATTTATTTTGAGAGAGAGAGCATGAGCAGGAGTGGGGGAAGGGCAGGGAGAGAGAGAGAGAGAGAGAGAGAAAATCCCAAGCAAAGCAGGCGCTGAACTGTCAGTGCAGAGCCCATTGCGGGGCTCGAACTCACAAACCATGAGGTTGTGAGCTGAGCCAAGATCAACAGTCAGACGCTTAACCTACTGAGTCACCCAGGCGCCCCTTATTTTTGATTTTTTAAAAGTTTATTTATTTATTTTGAGAGAGAGCGAAAGCATGAGTGGGGGAAGGGCAGAAAGAGAGAGGAAGAAAGAGAATCCCAAGCAGGCTCCACACTGTCAACGTGGAGCCCAATGTGGGGGGCTCGAGCTCACGAACCGCAAGATCACGTCCTGAGCCGAAGTCGGACCCTCCACTGACTGAGCCACCCGGGCGCCTCTGCGATGCCACATTTTGAACTTGACTTTTATTTTAATTGGTTATACGGTACAGTGTTTAAAGAGTCAAATAGTTTCATGAGACTTGTTATAAAAAGCAGCCAAGCCCTCGTTCCTCCTTCCCACGTCCTGCTCTCCAGCGACGACCATATTGAATTCTTTTAGACTTGACATTCACATCCATAAACCTAGGTAAAGTGCTTATATTGCTACTTCTTGATTTTTCTGTTTTAGGCATTTTCTATTGATTCCTCGTTGTGCAAAATAAGAATTTAGCTTTCCCATAGTTCCTTTGAAATAGATTTTATTGGGAAGTATATCCTACAAAAGCCTGTATAAAACGTCCGTAGCCTTTTCAAAATAAAATACCGTTACTTCAGTTTAAGGATGAGACCCTGACACTGTGAGAAGCCTGCATGTGCCCCTCATGGCACTCCCTTCTCTCTTCCAGATGAAACCACTAATCTGTACTAATAATTTCCTTCCGCTTCCTTATAATTATCCTGTGTGCACATATTCCTAAACAATCTAGTGTTACCTGTTTGTGAGTGCATTTAAATGGAAACATATGGTATGTTTTCTGATTTTGCTTCTTTCACTCAGCTTTACGGTTCCAAGTTTCATCCAGTGGATGCACGTAGCTATAGCGGGTCCATTTCCTCTACTCTGCTGTGTCCTATAGGAACACAACTAACTACATCCCCATTTATCCAGCCTTGTCCATATAGCTGGTAACCACTAGCAAGAGTTTCTCCAGGCCACACAGGTGGGAGTGGAATTGTCAGGGCGTAGGGTGTGCGGTAACGTTTCAACTTTACTAGGAAACAACTGTTTTGCGAAGTAATTTCATCCAAGTTCCACCAGAAGTGAATGAAAAATGGGGGGCCCCCCCCCCCCCCCCCCCGCCCCCATCCTCGCTGACACTGGCTGTTGACTGACTTCTTAATTTTGGCCAATTTGGTTGGTGTGATACGGTAATTTTAGTGCAGTTTTCATTTGCTTTCCCCTATTGCAAATTTTCATGTTTTGAAAAGATCACTTGTGAGTCATCTTCTGTGAAATGGCATTCATATATTTCGCCTGTTAAAAAAGTTAATGCACAGGTGTTCTTGGTACATCACGGATATCAATAGTTTACTTTCAGTTTTATGTGTTGCAAATAGGTCCTCTCAGTTTGAAGTCGGCTTTCTTTTTTTTTTTCTTTCTTTTTTTTTTTTTTTAATTTGAGAGAAAGAGAGAGAGTGCATGCGTGCACATGCGAGCTGGGGCAAGAGGCAGAGAGAGAGAGAGAGAGAACTTTAAGCAGGCTCCACACTCAGCATGGAGCCTGAGGTGGGGCTTGATCCCATGATCCTGGATCACAACCTGAGCTGAAATCAAGAATCCGATGCTTCCTGGGGCGTCTGGGTGGCTCAGCTGGTTAAATGCCTCACTTCGGTTCAGGTCATGATCTCACAGTTCGTGAGTTCGAGCCCTGCATCGGGCTCTGTGCTGACAGCTCAGAGCCTGGAGCCTGCTTCGGATTCTGTGTCTGCCTCTCTCTGCCCCTCCTCCCCTCCTACTCTCTCTCTGTCTCTTTATCTCTGTCTCTCTATCTCTGTCTCTGTCTCTGTCTCTCTCTCAAAAATAAACATTAAAGAGTTGGATGCTTAACCAGCTGAGCCACCCAGGTGCCCCTGAAGTCAGCTTTCTACTCTGTCAAGGGTTTTAAGAACAGAAGTTCTTAAAATTTAATTTAATTTTAATTTTCTTGATTTTATCCATCCTTCCCTCTATGGGAAGGTTTATGTTCTTTTTTTTCCCGTTTGTGTCTTATTTAGAAAAAATCATTCCCTATTCCAGTGTCAGGAGATATTCTCTATGTTGTCTTCCAAGTGTGTTATAGTTTTGCCTTTTACACGTAAGTATTTGAATCTACCTCGAATTGCTTTTTACATGTGGTGCAATAGGGATTTAATTCCAGTTTTTCCATCTATACCTACAAGTGTCCCAGTGACACGTATTGAACGGTCTGTCTGCTTCACAGTAATCTGCCGTGCCGAGTCTGTGAAAAATGAAGTTTCCAAATATGCTTCGGTTTGTTTCTGGGCTCTCTCTGTGCCAATACCATACTGTCTCGATTACCGTAGCTTTATATGTTTTCCTGCCTGGCAGAGAAAGTCTTCTGTTCTTCAGGATGGTCTTGACTCTTCTTAGGATGTTTGCTTGTTTGTTCGTTCGTGTTTTTGGTATCCATTTTTATCAGCTTGTGACAGTTGGTGAAATGGTTGGGTTTTTTACCAGAATCGCATTGAGTCTCTAGATCTATTTGGGATAGCTGAAGAATAAATACATGAAGGTTAAACTAAAGGACATCAAAGACAAGAAGATCTCCAAAGCAACCCGGGGTAGGAAAAGATCACCTACTAAGGAACAGTGAATAGAGGAATTAATTACCTTTTAATGGTAAAAATGGAAGCCAGAAGACTGTGGGAGGATGTTTCCAATGTGCTGACAGAAAAGCAATAATCAACCTGGAATTGATATCCAGTTAAACTCTTTTAAGAATGAAAGCAAGAGGGGCGCCTGGGTGCCGCAGTCGGTTAAGCGTCCGACTTCAGCCAGGTCACGATCTCGCGGTCCGTGAGTTCGAGCCCCGCGTCAGGCTCTGGGCTGATGGCTCGGAGCCTGGAGCCTGTTTCCGATTCTGTGTCTCCCTCTCTCTCTGCCCCTCCCCGGTTCATGCTCTGTCTCTCTCTGTCCCAAAAATAAATAAACGTTGAAAAAAAAAAAAAAAAGAATGAAAGCAAGATAACAAAAATTTCAAACAAATGAAAACGGAGACTATCACGAAAGGAAAGTTTTAAGAGCTATACTTCAAGCAGAAGGAAAATGGCCATAGACGCTAGGTATGTTCTTCCAGGAGGAAGATCAAGAACTCTGGGGTTGAGGGAACTCTTCCAGGGGGGAAAATTTGCTGACTTCTCTGATGTCTGCCTTTTACTTCTTTTGGGGATCTGTAGATTCTTACTTTCATGCCCACTCAGTGATGTGTTTTAACGTTTATTTATTTTTGAGACAGAGAGAGACAGAGCATGAACGGGGGAGGGGCAGAGAGAGAGGGAGACACAGAATCGGAAGCAGGCTCCAGGCTGTGAGCCGTCAGCCCAGAGCCCGACGCGGGGCTTGAACTCGCGGACCGTGAGATCGTGACCTGAGCTGAAGTCGGACGCTTAACCGACTGAGCCACCCAGGCGCCCCTCAGTGATGTGTTTTAAAAGTTATTAAAAGTATTTCACCGTATCCAGAATTTTAGTGGATAAAATGTTTCATGGAGGCAGGGTTGTTTGGGTGTCTAAACCACCCACTCACGGGAGGTAAAAGTCCTCCAACAAAACTTCTTTGAGGAAACTCTCCCTGTCTCAGCCCGTGCGGAGTCCTTGTTATCTGTCCTCATGGTAGATTGTATTCTCGCCTTAGGGCACATACGCCAGCTATATTTTTACAATTATTTATATGCTCTTTAAACTAATTGTCTACTCACCCCATTAGAAATCTAAGGTCCAGGTCTGTATTGTTCTCTGTTTTATTCCCATACTTTATTCCTCGTAAGCAAGTGCCTGGCACATTATAGATATGCAGTAGACGCTTATTGAGTAAATGATTTGATGAATGATTATTTTTTGGTTAGAAGCCAATATTAGGTATTAAGTCAAGCCCCGCTGTGTGTCTCTGCTTCATATCCAGCCATTGAAGGCCCTGCTTTAGGGCTAATGAATTCCCATAGAACTGTGCCGTGTAATATGATAGCCATCAGCCACCGTGGTATTTAAATCAGTGAAATGAGGGGCGCCTGGGTGGCGCAGTCGGTTAAGCGTCCGACTTCAGCCAGGTCACGATCTCGCGGTCCGTGAGTTCGAGCCCCGCGTCGGGCTCTGGCCTGATGGCTCAGAGCCTGGAGCCTGTTTCCGATTCTGTGTCTCCCTCTCTCTCTGCCCCTCCCCGTTCATGCTCTGTCTCTCTCTGTCCCAAAAATAAATAAAAAACGTTGAAAAAAAATAAATCAGTGAAATGAATTAAAATGAAATAAAATAAAATATTCAATTCCTTAGTCTCACTGGCCACATCTCGAGTGGCTAGTGGCTATCCTATTGGATGGCACAGACACGGAACATTTCCATTATCACAGAAAGTTCTACTGGAAATTCTCAAGAATTCTGAAGTGCTCTTCTCTCTTCCTCTCTTTCTTTTGCTCTTGCTCTCTCTCTCTCCCTCTCTCTCTCTCTCTCTCTCTCTCTCATCCCACCCCTAAACCAAATACAGGGATAGTTGTCTTATTATTAGTGACTTAAGTGATGCTTTTGAGCGAGAAGATGCTGGGTACTTTTGGTGCCTAGCACCATCCCACTTTTTTCTTTTAAATTCCTGAGCTGTTGTTTACTAGGACGTTCTTTTATTCCTGTTTCTACTAAAGCTGAATGTTACTTGGGTGGAAAGCCTAATTGCTTTCTTTCTAGGTCCTTAAACCCTTTGTTAATGTTTCTGTCTGAGAGTTCCCAAAGCCAGGGTTCTAGGAGAGTTTGGCATGTCTGAACAACTGAACAACTGAATAATGGAGTAGGTCCGGCGGGGTGTGGGAGCAGGGCATTCTGTCAATAAAAGAGCTCCCCTCTCTGCACACATGGCCAGTTAATTGGCCATTCTGGGAAAGTATGGATGGGGAGGGGGGCTTCTGAGAATCGCCGGTGACAGTTAAGTGGCCTTTTGTTGACGTCCTCTGCTGAACAACTTTGTTGGATTTAGTCTCTGCCTCCCCCCCCCCCCCCCCCGCCTCCTGTGGATTTTCTGTTAGATTCATCATTTACCATTCACGCATCATCTTTCACTCTCTCCTTCCAATATGACTGCTTTGTGTGCTGGCCTCCGCTTTATTCCTGCTATTCCCAGCCCATAAAGGGGGCTGTGTGGGCCTTCAGCAGGACTGAGAAATTGACTCTGCTGTCTGTTGAGAACTATAATGATTGCAGTGACCTTCATGTCTGGCAGAAAATCCACTACCTGTGCCGGCATAATGGCGGCCAGCTGAACATAGAGAAAAGGGAGTCTTCACCGAATTCCTTCTCGTGCTATATGTATTTCCTTTGTTCCCCTCTCTATTCCCTTCTGTTCCCCTTCTCCCCACTGCAACTGGAGTGCTGACCTAAGATGCAGCTGTGACTAAGAGTTAATGCTTGGAAATAATAATACATTCTATTTTGCAGGCTTTGCCAAGCCAGTTCACCCACGTTGTCTCATCTAATATTCCCCCCAACCCCTGTGAGGTAGGGAGGGGAGGTATTATTAACCGCATTTACTGATGAGTAAACTGAGACTTAGAGAGATTAGGGCAGTTGCCCGAGGTCTTTGAGACAGGAAGTGAGCCCATGGTCCCTGTCCCTAAACCCGGCGATCTTTCAATGGCGTCCACACCCTTATGCGGAAGGAGGACGTGGCCCAGGGGAAGCGTGAGCGGATGGGGAGGGAGAAGGAGAACAAAAGAAAAGAATTAAATGAGGAGGGAGGAACGGAGTGGTTTCCTGGGGCCTTCCAGCTACTCTTCTCTTTCTCCGGAGAAGGAGGACTTGATGTTCACCAGAGGCTGGCCCAGCAAACCTCCAGGGAGGAAGGAAAGCCAAGAGCCTCGTCTTCCTCTTTCCTCTTGCCAGGAGAGGATTTGCCTAGCCGTGGGGAGGGGTGGCCCTAGCTCTGTCAAGGCCCTGCGTGTGGAAGCCACATGCTGGGTCTCCCCCAGAGAGAACCTAACGCCCTTCTCAGGCCGGGCCTGCTGGCCTTTAGGTGCTGTCCTGTCCTGAGGCTTCAGCCATGCCTGCGCACGAAGAAAGGGCTTGAAGCTCGCCTGAAGGAAGAAGCATGCAGGGGACCCCTGGAGGAGGCGTGGGCCCTGGGCTGTCCCCTGTGGACCGGTGGACGCTCCTGGTCTTCAGCTTTATTCTGGCAGCAGCTTTGGGCCAAATGAATTTCACAGGGTGAGTGGCTGCTCCATAGTGGGAGGAAGGGCTACTGAGAGCTTGGGGACCAGGTGTGCCAGCAGGGAGGAGGCTGTCTTCCTGGGACCTGGTCAAAGTAGAGGGAGTTGGGACTTCACTTCCCATTCAGGTTCATAATCTCCCACTCTCACAATCAAGGGTGGGACAAGCAGCTGTCTTACTGTCCTTCCCCACATGAGTTCTTTCTTCTTCTTCTTCTTCTTCTTCTTCTTCTTCTTCTTCTTCTTCTTCAAGTTTATTTATTTATTTTGAGAGAGAGAGCACGAGTGGGGCAGGGGCAGAGAGAGGAAAGGAGAGAGGGAGAATCCCAAGCAGGCTCTGCACTGAGAGCCTGATGCGGGGCTCGAACTCATGAACCAGGAGATCATGACCTGAGCAGAAGTCAGACCCAGGCGCCACCTCTCCCCCCCACAGCATGAGTTCTTAATCTGCAGCCCATGGGGAAGTTTCCAGGGCTCCAAGATTCCCCTGATTCTTGCTTATATGTAAAATTGTTTATCTATTTTTTTTCCTGGGGGGATGGTTTCCTCTGATTTTGAAAAACTTTTTTGAATGTTTATTTATTTATTTTTATTAAAAATTTTTTTTAAAGTTTATTTATTTTTGACACAGAGAGAGCGCGCGAGCATGAGCTAGGGAGGGGCAGAGAGAGAGGGAGACACAGAATCTGAAGCAGGCTCCAGGCTCCGAGCTGTCAGCACAGAGCCTGACGCGGGGCTCGAACCCACAAACTGCGAGATCATGACCTGAGCTGAAGTCGGATGCTTAACCGACTGAGCCATCCAGGCGCCCTGAATGTTTACTTATTTTTGAGAGAAAGAGAGAAGCAGAGCGTGAGTGGGGCAGGGGCAGAGAGAGAAGGAGACACAGAATCCGAAGCAGGCCCCAGGATCCCAGCTGTCAGCTGTCAGCACAGAGCCCGACATGGGGCTCGAACTCATGAGCTGTAAGATCATGATCTGAGCTGAAGTCAGATGCCCGACCGACTGAGCCACCCAAGTGCCCCTGGTTTTCTCTGATTCTTAAAGACGTTAGTAACCCCCAGAAGACTCTGTATCCGTACCATATGGATATAGTATCGTCCTCCTTTGAATACGAATAAGCATTAGGATTTTACCCCAGGCCCTCTAAGGACATGTTTCTCAGCTTCCCAGACGTCACCTAATGGAATGACCCCAAAGTATCCCCATAGTGGTGATTAGAGGGGGTTGGGGGGGGGCGGGGTTCATCCTCCCTGATATCCAAGCCAGTCAGGGAGGGAGTCAGCGGCATCCCAGGTGGCGAACACCGGAGGTCACGCGCACAGCCTCTCGCGGCCTCTCCACCGGGATGGGAAGGGCTCAGCTTCCTCTCCTATGTTAGCGTGAGGTTCATCTCCCCTTCCATGTCCTCAAGCTCTTGAGAGAAGGCTGGAAGGGGCACAGGGTTTGGACAGACCATGGCCTTTGGCCCTTGCACGAAGAGCACTCGGGGCCACTGTTGGTCTCCCCTGCCCTCTGTATCTATTCTTTTCTCCCCTTCATTCCTTTGGTTTCCCAGGCCTCCTCCATTCTCCCATATTCCTGTCCCATACTTCCTCCCCTGTCTTGCTGCTGGGTTCATCACTAGTTGTGACGGGCTTTATTTAGTGGCTCGGGTGGTCTGTCCTTGGCCTGGAGCGACCGCTGTCTCACGCTGAAGGACTCGCGTGCTTCCCAGAGTGGCACGTCCTTCTGCTCAGTCTCCCTCAGCCTCCCAGCCTCCCTGCCGGGTCCCCTCAGCCTGGTCCTCAGGGTCCCCTAGCCCAGCCTTCCAGGGAACCGGCTCAGCATCTCCCTCCACCCTCCCTGTGTCTTTCCAGAGACCAGGTTCTTCGAGTCCTGGCTAAAAATGAGAAGCAGCTTTCACTTCTCAGGGATCTGGAGGGCCTGAAGCCCCAGAAGGTGAGGACTCCTCAGGGCTGGGGAGCATGTTCTCCACTTTCTTACAGTGGCCTGCATCTTCAGCCCCCTGTCCTGCTCCCCGAGCCCCAAACCTGCCCCTATCATATCTGCCAAAGATCACAACACCGTGGAAAATCACATGTGGGATCTTCTTCGGGAAAGGTTGGGAACACCCGCCCGGAAAGTTGGGTGGCCTTTCTTGGCCTTCTCCTCTGTCCTAGATGGGGAGCTGCTGAGCAGACCCTGTCAGGGGCCACCTCACAAATGACTGGAGTGTCCGGAAGCCACCCGGGGAGTACATATGCCTCTGGGTGGGATGCCATGTAGTATGCAGACTGGACACGTCGGTTTCCCCCACTGAAACGGCTCAGCTTGGCGAACCTGTGTTTTATTTGGGTTCGTCCCTGTCAGCCTGAGCATTTGTTTCCGAGAACGTTTGTCCTCTGCAAGTATTCCACAATGGAAAACATTTTCTTCAACAGTTACAATAGAAGGGTTTTGTTTCAGGGCTGCTGAAGCAACCAGGTATCCTGTCCCTATTCGTTTGAGTGCCCCTATCTACTAGGACTCGTAACACTATAACAATTCTCTCCCTTTTACAAGTTGGTGAGTAGACGTAGCATTTGGAGGTCATGGGAATGCAGGTCGGTTTCCTCCCCCCTCCCCAGGGCTTGAGGGCAGTGATGCCTCCCCCTTCTGACCAAGGTTCTTGTCCATGTGAATGCCCCGTATGATGAGCTGTCTCACTTTTAGCAACTGTTTAGGGTTCTTGGGGTCCAGGCGAAGTTGGAGTGAGGCAGGGAGCGAGGGTGCTCGGAATCGGAGGAAGAAACGCAGCTCGGGGGTTTTGTTTGCCCCCATCTCTGTGCTCGGCCTGAGGGTTTTCATTTTGGAACTGGGGCCTTTTTAACTGTCTAAGAGAAGAAGACCGTCTGCCTGTCTAAGGTGCCCACAGGATCATGTATGAGGACACGCGATTAAACACATCCATTTTCCTTTTCTTTGTGGCCAAGGTGGATTTCTGGCGTGGCCCAGCCAGGCCCAGCCTCCCGGTGGATATGAGAGTTCCTTTCTCTGAACTGAAAGACGTCAAAGCTTACCTGGGCTCTCACGGCCTTGCTTACAGCGTCATGATAAAGGACATCCAGGTGAGGTCCTGCCCCAGCACCACGGCTAGGGTTTCACCTTCCACGTGCCTTTCTGGTTTGAGCCCAGCCCAGAGGAAAGCAACCCAGGGCTCACGGTGGACAGGTTTCTAGAGTTCCGTCCGCATTCTTGTGGACCTGCTGTAGAAGGAACGACACCTCACACTTCTCAGAGAATATTTAAAATCTAGGACAGAGCCCACGGTCGGGGGCGGGGGGACGTCCTCCTCGTGTGGTAGTAGCAGTCACTTGTGGACGAGTCCTCTTGTGGGGGGATTTGCAGCTCACAGCAGAGGAGGAGACCAGGGAGGAGGGAGACAGGAGCGAGTAGCTCGGGTCTTTCCTGGGCACCCGGGGGAGGCAGCTCTGGAAGAGTCCCTTTGCTTTTCTGACCGTCCCTGCCGTCCTGGCTGTCCCACGACACTTGTACCACCAGGCTCTCGGTACTAGGAGGTACCAGGCTCCTCTCCCAGGCAGGATTCTCCCAGGGGAATAGCTTTGGGAGGGCTGCACACCCACCCTTGGGTAGGACAGAGAGAGCCTTCATCCCGGCCCTGCCAGTGTCCCCACCCGCCCTGGTCGGCGCAGCTTACGGTGTCTTTTCTGAACACCGTGACATTTTATTTCTGTTGTTCTGTCTTCAAGGGTATCCCAAGGAGCCCCCTTCCTAAAGCGCTTCTTGTGGGCACCGCGTGCTGGTTAGGCGCCTCTGGCCGCACCCCTCCACAGATGCTGTGGTGCACCTGCAGGGTCACATCCCCAGACATTCCTCCCCAGCCACGGCGCGCTGCAGCTACTCTCTGAGGGCGCTGAGTGTGGGAACCCAGTCTCCCGGAGCGCACACACATGACATCACATACCAAGGGATAAACGCATCAGGGGCATTCCTTTCCCGCGAACGCACCGGGCTGGGCCACTTAGATCCATGCACAGACCTTTGTCCCTCATCGGGCACATGTGTTTGCTGCTCAGTGCGTAGGGGTGGCCTCTTTCTCTAATTAATCCCCACAAACCCAAATGGGGAAACTCCCCGCAGACAAGACAGGGTACCACATCGAAAGAAATAGCACTCAATTCTCATTTTTTGCCCACGCGGGCATCTTCAGGTTCGCATTTCCTCGCTTCTGCCCCGCCCTGAAAGCCCGCAGCATTTAGCCAGCAGATGCGAAGAGGTCTCTCAAAATGTTCTGTTGATTTCTGCACATCAGGAGTGGCCCCAGAGGCACCTCTGAGCCTGCCCCCTGGCTCCTCTGGAGCTGTCCTCTTCACGTTCCTCAACCCGTCCTCCCCCGTCGTCCCCAGGCTGGAATCCCTTCCGGGGGCGCTCTTTACTCCCTGTCAGTAGTAGATGCCCTGGACTGTCTGCCCTAACCCAGCCGGGCAGGATTTTCCCCAACACCTCTCTCTGTCTGCAGTGCATCAAGCTCCGATTGTCATACTTAAGATCCCATTTTGGCTTGGAGGGAGCTGGGGGGGGGGGGTAGGGGAGGCTGCCGTGTTGAGTTGATTTGTGGTGACGAGGGGGAGGGTGTCCAGGAGGAGAGAAGCTCAGAGGCGCTAACAGGAGGGGAAGGCTTTGCACCACTCAGGTTTTTGGCCTCTAGCCTTACGTTTCGGTTATTGACGCACGGGCCTAATCTCTTCTGAATCTTCCGGATCTCTCCGCCGCAGCATTTGGCGTAGCCTCTCTTGCACGGCGGGCCCTCAACGGTCTCCACAATGACTCTGTTGGCAGGTTCGGAAAGAGTGTGCCCAGACAGAGGCCTTGCTATTAAGTTGGTCTTTGTCTCCAGGGCCCCCTCTCCTGAGCCCCTCAAGGTCCAGGCTCGGGCCTCTTATCTATCTTTATGCCCTAGCGCCTCCCATGGCACCTGCCACTCGGTTGGGGCTTAATAAATGTTGGTTGAATTCACGGATGCGAGGAAAGGAAAGAAGTGAGGGTGTGTTTGCTCCGCAGCACTAGGCTGGGAGGGAGCGTGAAAAACCTTGGTGCCGGCTTCCGGCTTTCGCTTTGGCCAGGGGTGCTGGAGATTTTTGAGGAAGGGAAGTGTCCCCTGCTCCCCGCCCCCGCCCCCCCCCCCCCAAGCTGTGATCAGACGCGTGCTTGAGATGGAAGAGCTGGGTTCGTTTGTTCCATCTACTGATATGGAGATACCTACTGTGTGCAAGGTGCAGGAAACACAAAGACAGGAACTCCGGTTCCGGTTCCGTATCCAGGGGAGCCAGGTCGTGGGGGTGGGGAGTGGAGGGGAGTAAAGCAGTGATTACAATGGAGTGGATGAGCTTGCTGATGGTGCTGATGGCGTGCAGCAGGTTGCTATGGGAGCCGAGGACAAGAGGCTCTGCACGTAGGGAGGCTCTGAGAAGGCGGTAATTACGGTGCTGTGCGGCTGAAGAGCAGGCGAGGGGGGGACCGGGAGGGGAAGGGCCCCCCCCCGCCCTGTTGGCAGTGAGGCCCGACAAGATCACAAGGGGCATCCTCTGTTGGGTGAAGAGGTCGAGATTTATCCCGAAAAATCATGGGGGAGCCATGGGAGGGCTCTGACGGGATCAGATTTGCATTTAAGAAAAAAAATCCCTCTGACAGTACAATGTTGAGCTGGGGACAGGAGCAGGGAGAGACTGACAGGCAGGAGGGTGCTGAGGAAATTGCAGTGGGCCAGGCAAGAAATTATCTGATTCCGAGTGAGCTCTATTTGCATTTAATTTTTCTTCACCTCCCCCTTTTTTCTCAGCCCTTTGGTTTTGGTGTTGTTGTTGTTGTTGTTTTTTTTTTTTTCTCTAGGATGAGTCACCATGGAAAAGCTTCACTTGAGCAATCAGCTCTGTGGATTTTAATGGCTTTTTTCTGATTACAAAATTAATAAATATTCATGTTAGATAATTTGGAAAATAGGGGAAAGCACAACGGAGAACACAAAAATCACCCGGGCTCTGAGCATCTAGAGCAAAATGCAATTTAGTGTAAATATTGCTTGGCCAATTTCCCCCTCTCTACTGGATCATTCTCATTAGCATACAAATGTAGCGTTATTTCTCTTACCCCCCAAAATCCTCTCTCGATCCCGTCCCCCCGTCTCCAGCTATCACCCCATTTCTCAGCTTCCCCTTACAGCACAACTCTTGGAAATACGGGCCATACTTGCCACCTCCATCCTTCTCCGTGGGTGGACTGTCCACCCCTCACTTCACCAAAACTGCCCTTGACATTCATCACCCACAGCTCCTACGTCCAACTCAGTGGCCAACTTTGAATGCCCGTTGTTCTTCCACCTTATTTAGCACAGCTGGTTGCTCTCTCGTCTTTGAAACATGTCCTGTCTTGGCTTCCGGGACACTGTCCTCTCCTGGATGTTGTCCTGTCTAACTGGCTCTCCTTTGCATGTCATTTTCCTATTTCCCAGTTCTGTCCTTTGACTTCCCCTGGATCCTCTCATTCAAGATCATGGCGTTGGATACCTTCAGCCTCCTGAATATTCCCATACTTGCATCTCCAGCCAGACTCCTACGCTCACCCTGAACTCCAGACTCAGGTCTCCAACCGCCTCTTCCTCATTTCCACCTGCCTGCCTAACGGGTGTCTCAAATGTCACCGTTCCCAACCGAGCACCCCCCCTCAACTTGCTCCTCCACAGCCCTTCTCCATCTCAGGAAATGACAACGCCATCCTTCCGGTCACTCAGACAAGAAGCCTGGAGTTGTCCTCAACTCCTTTCTCGCATCCCACATTCACCAAATCCCGTCAGTTCTCCCTTTAAATTGTATTGTACCAGGGCACCTGGCTGGCTCAGTCGGTTGAGCGTCCAGCTTCATCTCAGGTCATGACCTCACGGTTCGTGAGTTCGCGTCCTGCTGTCAGCACAGAGCCTGCTTCGGGTCCTCTGTCCCCCTCTCTCTGCCCCTCCCCTGCCCCATCCCCTCTTTCTCAAAAATAAACATTAAAAAAGTAAATAAATTAAATGTATCTTACCATTCTATGCTACCACCTTGGGCCAGCACGCCATCAGCCCCACACCTGGATTGTTCTACGAGTTTTGTAACTGCTATCCCTAATTCCATCCTTGCCTCCCTGTTGCCTAGTCTCAAAACAGCATTCAGAGGGGTCCTTTAAAATTATTATTATTATATATTATATCCCACTATGTCACTTCTCTGCTTAAAGCCCTCAATGACTTCTTAACTGAGAGTAAAAGCCCAAGTCCTTAAAATGGCCCTGAAGTACAACACCCTCGTCACTGACTGCTCTCCCCTGGCTCGCTCTGCTCCAGAGACCTGGACCTCTTTACTGTTCCTTGAACTTGCCTGACCCATTCCTGCCCAAGGGCCCTTGATGAGATTCACGTCTCGGGGCCTTTGCACTTACTGGTCCTTGTGAGTAGAATGCTGTTTCTGCAGATACCTGCATGACTTATTCCCTTGCTGCTTTCAAAACCTTGTTCACACGTGAGTCACCCCCCAAATTACTATCGCCCTGCCACCCTCCTCTTGCTCCTCCTCATGGCTACGTGCTAGGCGACACTCCAAGCATTTTACATGTATTAACCCCTCTAAGCCTCACGGGAACCCCTTAAAGAATGTGCTCAAGGGTGTGATAACGTGACCCCCATGTTTGAAGGCCCAGAGAGAGATGAATACTTTGGTAAACTGAGGCCCAGAGAGATTAGTGTCCCGTTAGTGATGGCGTCGAGATTTAACCAGAGGCAGCCTGGCCCCGGGCCCTGAACTCTTTGCTCCTGAGCCATCTGCTTCCTCCACAGTTGTCACTGTTGTTTGTGTGGGTGGTTTTAACTCTGCCTTTGGGGCAGTGAAGCCACCCGTTCAGCCTTGACCTCTGAGGGGGTCCACGCTAAGAACCCCCGGGTCCGTAGCCACCCACCACGTAGTCACAGACTGCATTTGCTACCAGCCACGCAGCTGCTACTGCAAATGTTGGGCCTGTTAGAGAAGGCCAGGGACACATGAGGAGAGGTGACTGCTGCTGTCACGGAGCGGGGGTGGGGGCGTGGGGGGTGGGGAGATGCTCCCTGTTCACCGTCCCCCGGAGCCGCGTCCATTTTACGTCTGCGCAGCTGGAGTTCAGCGGCCGAGTGCTGGTTCCCTTCAGGCGTCAGCTTCGCCCTTCCTGGGCCTCCCGTGGCCTCCCGCCCTCCTCCATCCTGGAGGTGCTGTCCTTTGCTTAATGTTCCCGTCCTTCCTCACCCCTGTCATAAATTAATTCACACCAAGGTATTACTTTCCTTGTCAGGTTATGGCTTCCAGGGAGGCAAATGGCTTGCTTCTGAGCCGTTGCTTTTTTTTCTCTGAGAAGCCTGACAGGGCTGTAATTAGGCTTCCCTGAGCCTGTGGCAAGACTGCGTTCTCAGTTCTCCCCTCTCCCCTCTCGGCCTTGTGAAGGGAGCCAACATCTGTGTATTTTTCAGGCCAGGGTAGATTAGCGTTCTTGGCATTGGGGCCCAGCTGTGAGGGCTGAGCATTCCCAATTTGTGAGCGGGTGTCACATCCATTCACAGGGCTGTGAGGGTGTTTGGAAAGTTATTTGCGGTTTGGTGCCCATTTCCCATTTGCCCCCAAGCCGTTCTGTAGAACAAAGAATGGCCTCCTGGGAGCTGTTTGCTGCTGTGGGTGTCCCTGGGCTGTGGGAAGAGCTTCCCAATTTCTCCTCCCTGTCCTCCACCTTTTCCCACCGCCTCGGGTCCTCCGCCAGTCCCTAGGAAGTTCATCTCGGTGGGACTGGAGGGGGACTTCTGGGTGCACCAGCCCCGGGCTGCCGGCTCCCCGCGGCTGCTCACCACAGCTGGTAGTGCCCGGCCCAAAGTGATGGGCACACACTGGTCACGGTGGCCTGCTGAGATTTCCGTTGGTTTCCTGGGAGAAGACAAGTCCCTTTTGTTAGAGTGTCCCGGGGTGGTGCCTGTGCCAGCAAGGGTCAAGGCTCCTCCAGGCTTCCTTACTTGCCCAGCAATCCCAGCTTTGCCCAAGTGGGAATGTATCCAGCTTAGCTAATTCAGCCAGAAAACATTGCAATCACAATTGCCTAACGTGTGGTCGGTGCTCAAAAAGAAAAGAAAATGAGGCCCAAGCAACGATTTCCAGTCCCATTTTTAAATCTGTGAACTTGAGGGTTGTGAGCAAGCTGACTGGGGCAGCAGGGTGAGTGGGCACTGGACAACGGCCTCGTCTGCGGGGATGGTGGTGATGCCTCTTTTCCAGCCCTGGGACTGAAGAGTCCATGGCTGCTACTTTATTTTAGCCATTGGGCCTTTTTGTTTTTGTTTTAGTATTATTTATTCATTAGAAGATTTTACTTATTGAAGCAGTAGAAGCATGCCGCCAAAATATAAAAATAGGGAACATTTAAAAATTGCTTGAAATCATAATCTTTCTATCCTAACAAGCATTGTTTTCATAGTGGTATTTTCTGACATTTTACTGTCTTATTTTTCTATGCTCAGGGTATTGCTTTTTTGTTATTTTTTTCAAATAGTTTTTTTTTTTTTTAATTTTTTTTTCAACGTTTATTTATTTTTTTGGGACAGAGAGAGACAGAGCATGAACGGGGGAGGGGCAGAGAGAGAGGGAGACACAGAATCGGAAACAGGCTCCAGGCTCTGAGCCATCAGCCCAGAGCCCGACGCGGGGCTCGAACTCACGGACCGCGAGATCGTGACCTGGCTGAAGTCGGACGCTTAACCGACTGCGCCACCCAGGCGCCCCTCAAATAGTTTTTTAAAATGTTTTACTTTTATTTGTTTTGAGAGAAAGAGAAAGAAAGCAAGTACAAGTTGTGGAGAAGCAGAGAGAGAGAGAGAGAGAGAGAGAGAGAGAGGGAGAGAGAGAGAATCCCAAGCAGGCTCTGTGCTGTGAGCGCGCAGCCCGACGTGGGGCTCGATCCCATGAACCATGAGATCATGATCTGAGCCAAATTCAAGAGTTGGACTCTCAACTGACTAAGCCACCCAGGCACCACATTTTTTTGTTATTTCAGAACACCTTTCAATTGCAAGAAGAGTATGATGGATTTTTCACCTGTTGTTAACATTTGACACATTTTCTTGCCCTCTCTGTACACACACACACATATACATACCTACACACACACACAGATAAACATACAGTTGACCCTTGAACAACCTGGGTTTGAACTGTGTGGATATACATGGATTTTTTTTTTTTAATAAATACAGTACAGTACTATAAATGTATTTTCTCTTTCTTATGATTTTATTACTAACATTTTCTTTTCTGTAGCTTGTTTTATTGTAAGAATACAATATATAACACATATAACATACAAAATATGTGTTAATTGTCTGTTTATGCTATTGGTAAGGCTTCTGGCCAACAGCAGGCTATTAGTAGTTAGGTTTTTTGGAAGTCAAAAGTTATGTGTGGATTTTCAACTGTGGGAGAGTTGGTGCCCCTAACCCTCTCATTGTTCAAGGGTCAACAGTATATACCTATAGGTATGTATATCTATCTATGTGTGTGTATATATGTTTGTTATTTAGTATTACATATAATACATACATTTATTATTCTTATTCACCTTTAGTTTTGATAGCTAGCCAGCCTTAAGGAACCCAAGGCTAGGAATAAGATGTCTGGGTTCTTACCTCACCTTTGCCCCTTGTTGGCTTTGCCATTAAGTCCCTTCACCTCTCCAATCTGTTTTATCTCTGAAACATGAATAGTGAATTCCTGCCCTGTCATTTGGTCATCTGACCAGACCAATGGAGACAATGAGGATAAGGATGCCTGGTAAACTGAAAGGCTCTGCCTGAAGCAAGACATCATCAAGACTCCCTTGTGTGACTTTGGGTTGAGGTCTTCTGCTTTCCCAGCACCCTTTGTGGCAGAGAGGCCGAGGCACTTCCCATGCTGCTGGTCAGTGCAGAGTCCTGGGGTGCCTCTATCCCTGGGTGCCAGTGTAAGGGTATGAGCCTGGGGTGAAGGGCACTTGCCCACCTCACTGAATCCCAAGCTGGGAAAAGTGTCCCAGAATGATGGGGGAGGGCAACCCAATCCAACCGTACGCCCTCTCCATGGTCAGTGGGAAGTCCTGCGTGTGGGCAGAGTACCAACTCCAAATGATACCCAGGACATTGCTTTTGGTTCATCCATACTTGTGTTTAAGAGGCAGTTAAGACAGTAAGTAAAAGATTGTTGGCATATTAGTTCTGTAATTATTTGGATCAGCTTGCTCCATAGCTGGTTTCCCAAATGGCCTGGATATCAATTGTGTAGGCTACCCCCCGGGTGTAGAGTAGAGTGGGTCAGGGCGGCCCTCTGCTCCCCCAGGGGGTCAGCTTGAGCCTTGACTCAGCAGTGTTCATAGAGGGCAAAAACAATGTTGGCAATAGATCACGAGCACTCTTCTAAAATACTTTCCTATCCCTTATTACATTTTATCCTATGAGCTGGGCAGGGCAAGATACTGCTATCCTAATTTCCATGCTGAGGAAACTAAGACCAAGGCTCCACAGCAAGTTGGTGGCAGACTTGGAATGCAGCTCTCCGGACCCCTCGCCCCGTGCTCATTTGGGAAACAGAGGCATGAACACCAGCTGGCCAAGCAGAATCATCCAGCAACCGGCATCTCCTCCCGTTGTGCAGCTCACACTCATGGTGGCTCGTTCTCCTCTGTCGGTGGTGTCTTTGTGCGCGGCCCAGCCGATGCGGGGTTCGGAAGAGGCCTGCCTGGCCCGGTTCTCCCCTTCCCTTCCAGTATGTGCTCTTGTCTCCTAGGTGCTGCTGGATGAGGAGAGAGAAGCCATGGCCAAATCCCGCCGGTTGGAGCGTAGCACCAGCAGCTTTAGTTATGCCTCTTACCACACCCTGGAGGAGGTAGGTCTGCCCAGTTGCGCTCCGGGCTCTCTTGTCCCTTTGGGCCCTCAGGGTCTTCCGACTCAGGCAGAGACTAATGAAAGACTCTGAGGTCCACGGGAGAGTGTGAAATGACTCTTGGGGAGTCTCTGGAGAGCAGAGCAGACACTGGGTGAAGGTCTGTCAGACAGACAGCTTCAAACAGGTCCGGAAGCCAGGATCCATATAGGGATAGAGAGAACTCAACAGTACAGCCCAGGGCAGGTCCGGGACTGAGGAAAGGTCTACTAGGCAGAACACTGAGGTAGGGATGCATCACTGGCCAGAGCAGAGCAGGTAGTGGCATCTCCAAATCCAGCACTGTGGCTGGGGACTCAGGGGTCTTGACTTCTCCACAAGCATTTCTGGTGTCAAGTGGCCCCAGCTGTGGGTCCTGGAGCATCGAAGGGACAGGAAGCCAGGCACATTGGAGAGCCATTTTGTAGAATAGAACAGAGTTGCCTCAGTTGGAGACAATTCTTGCTCCCAGTTACAGCCCGCCTTTCTGGACACCCAGCCCAGAAAGAAACTCAAGGCATAGGTTCCATTTTCATGAAAAAGATGCGATGGGATTGATATTGTCCCCTCTGGTATCACTGTCATTACTCTCCCGTTTCACATGGCCTGGAATAGAAGATCCATTTTTTCCCATATGTTTGGTAATTCAATTATGTACATTGAAAGAGTGAGGGAAGGGGTTAATATGGCCTGTCAGTATTTATTGACATCCGAGATAAATAGTCCTGCCTTCAAACAGCTTAGAATCTCTAAGGGCCGAGAAGACCAAAACAGCTGGGTCGGTGGGGTGTGTCAAACGGACTGAATGGGCCAAGAGAGTGGAAGCAAGAGAAACTTCCACCCTGAGAGCCTTGCAGGTTGACCCTGGGGACTGGGTAGGGTGAGGACACTCCTCTTCCAGAAAGAGGCTCAGCTCTGCACAGGGCCAGTTGCCTTCGACACCAGCTCTGCATCTTTGATGTGTGCAATTCTCCCGCTGGGTCCTTTTAGACCCTCAGGGGAGGGGGCACCCCAGGGGGGGGGGGGGGGGGGGGAAGGAGGATATCCGGGGAGAGCCTGGGCCCCGCCCCTCCCTGCCTCCCTGTCGGTCTGACAAACTTCATTCCTTTCAGATATATAGCTGGATCGACAACTTTGTGGCCGAGCACTCAGATATAGTCTCAAAAATTCGGATTGGCCACAGCTTTGAAAACCGGTCCATTGTTGTCCTGAAGGTAAAAGCGGGCAGTGTTGACCACCAGACTCTACAGTGAGAGCCCCTGGCATAAGACTGAACTCACGTAGGGTCATGGCAGGGTGGGAGTTTTAGGGACAGAGAAGATGTGTATACTCCTGCCCTGAGGTGACCCACAGCTTTGGGGCTGTGGTGTTCAGGGACCTACTCTCGTAGGTATGGACAGGTGATGGTGCAGCGACCTGGCAGGTCCTGGGTCAGGAAGTAGGTGGGAGGGTTGCAAAGGAGATGGAATTGCAGGGTGGTGGTCATCACCCTGGTCTTGGGAGGTGAATGTGGGTGAGTCAGCATTCTCCCTATTCCCTAGGTTGCTTCATCTGTGAAATGGGAAGGGAGATAAATAGAGGCCTCATTTACAAATGATTGAGGTCATCTGGCTCGGGCAGCCCCACAGATAGGCCCGAGTCTGTGGGGAGACCTCCCAGCCCTTCACGGGGGCCACTGGAAACAGTTGGAGCAAACTTGATGGCGGCAATGGCCTTGGTCATGAAGAAGGCAGGATAGGTAGGAGTGTGGAGTCGAGCCAAGCCAAAAACAAGTCTTAGTATGTGCTCTAAAGGGCCCCCTCAAGGCACTTGACGTCCAGCTCTCAGACAAGACGGCGCTCCAGCTCTCGACAGCCCTGGGGGACTCTTCCAGAGGGCCAAGTGTTCTCATCTAACTTGGGACTTGACCTCTTCATTCCCTGCTTTGATTTCCCCCAGGGGCTGTCCGTGTCCCCTCTTTAATGTGGTCTAGGACCTTGCTACTCAGAGTGGGGTCCTGGCACCTGCAGCAGCACCCCCGGGAGCCTGTTAGAAATGCCCAACCACAGACCCCTCCCCAGACCTACTGACTGAGAATCTGCATTTTCGTAAGATGCCGGGGGATTCGTGTACCCTTTAAAGTTTGAGAAACACTAGTCTCAGACACTTTCAAGCCTGGGAAGCTCTGTGCTTCCAGCTGGATCACCTTGCTTCCCCAGTGCACCGCTGTGTCACCGGGGCTCCCACACGTGTGCACTTCATGGACCCATGCACAAGTCCCTGCATATACAGCCCCTGTCTCGGGACACAGGGCCGCCCCAGGCAGTGCCCATACACCTGGGGCCACCTTCTGGGAGCCTAGGGACAGCTCTGTAGCTGTCTCCGTTCAAACCTGTTTGGGACCCGGTGCTTTTACCCAGTTTAGCACTGGAGGACCTCAGCGCCGGGCCATCTGGATTGACACTGGAATCCACTCCCGGGAGTGGATCACCCATGCCACTGGCATCTGGACCGCCAAGAAGGTCAGCACAGATGATGGGGGTGGGGCTGGGGTGGCGGCTACTCGACTATTTTAGGGCGCCCCTGGTTGCAAGATTGTACTTGGCTTGTTTAAACCTCGGGGGCTCTCTATTCTCCTGTCCTTCGGAACAGCTGCCACGCGCTCTGGCCTTTTGCAGCGCAGCGCCCACATCCACCCTCCGCCTTCTAGTTGTTTAACCTCCAAGCCCACAAAGAATGTATCTGATGGCCTGATGCCACCCCTGCCTGCGGCCACTGGCTGTGCAGAAGTCCTGATCTGCCTCAGAGGAGGGCCTGCCCGCGCCTCCCATCCCTCACCCTGAACCCACTCTGCCCTGGCCTGCAGATTGTCACTGAATATGGCAAAGACCGCACGCTGACGAACCTACTGAACGCCATGGACATCTTCATGGAGATCGTCACCAACCCTGATGGGTTTGCGTTTACCCACAGCATGGTGAGGACATTCGGGAGGGAGAGGGTCAGGGGTCAGGGTCAGCTCTGGGGGGCGGGGCGTGCAGGAACGGTCACTGTGGCTTTGGGAAGCTGAGCTGAGGTTCACTGGGGGCTGGCTCCTCAGGGGCTCCTGGTGGAGAGTCTCACGAAGGCAGACAGGTGACTCAGGTACTGCAGCTGCAACTCAACCCCTGTCCTGCTGCCCAGGGAAGGCCACTGTTGGCAGCCTGTCCTCGGGCCTCCCCCCACACCACAGCTTTAACCATAGGTGATCCGCAGTCTTGGCCCAGCCTCGTAGCAGCCCCATCCTGCCCTAGACATTCCTTCCTTTTGCCCCTCTCTGTCCCACCAGACACCCCCACCCCTTCCTAGGACAGGATGTCGGAGGCTTCCATCCCTGGGAAAGGGGTGAATGTCCCCCGCCCTGGGCTTTTCAGAACCGCCTGTGGCGGAAGAACAAGTCCACCAGACCTGGAATCTTCTGCATCGGTGTGGATCTTAACAGGAACTGGAAGTCAGGTTTTGGAGGTATGGCAATCTGCTGGACCTGGGGGCAGGGCTGGAGAAGGACGTCTTGGCACGTCTCTCACACAGTCAGGTTATGTGGACTCATAACCGGAGAGGCAATGTAGTTAGTTAATGTGAGTGAGTCATGGCAGGAACAGGCAAGCACACGCCTAGGATTGGCTGTGCGATATGGGGAGGGGTTGCACATGCGTGGGCAACGTACACATCCGCTCCAGCTTCGTGGGAAACGCGGGAAACGGCTCCTTGCTGCAGGGGTCAAATCCTAAATATGGCAGGGAAAGGTACAAGAGAGTCTTCAGGTTGTCCCTTCAGGAGGGACAAGATAGTCTTGCTGGTTGTTCAAACTCTAGAGTTTATATGCCCCCCAGATCTCTCCAGCCCTTCCTTGTAGGGAGCCCACCAAGAGAAAATGGCCTTCAAACTCATTTCCCGAGAGTCATGACCTGAAATTTGCCCTCTGGGGAGGCCAGAACAGTAGTTTAAATCTAAAATAAGCCAAGTTCTTATCACTGACACTGTCTTGAGCCTGGTTTTTACTTGCGACCCAGTTGCTTCGTAATCCTGGGCTGATGGACTGGTGCGTATCTGCAGGGCCGTATTTCTTCCAGGCAGAGGTGGGCAGCTTCCTCTCAAGTTCTTGGTGTTCTTCCTGATTATCACCCTTACCACACCGGGGACGTAGGGATTAGATGGGGAAACTGAGGTCTCCAGAAAGCCTCGGGACTAGTATGTGGACCCTGGGAATGCAGCGATTTGATGAATGGGATCCTGGGTCTAGCCAAGACAGGTTGCGTGGGCACCCCCTATTCTGGGGGTGTGGTGGGGTCGGAGTTTGGCTCCACAGGAGGCAGTGCCATTGCCGTTGAAAAGCAGATCCGCAGATGGATGGCCAGACCAATGAGACAGAACGTTGTAGATCTGCCCATCACTGAAAATCTAGCTTCTTTCAGTCTGTTTTCATTGAAAAATAAGCATCTAGGGGCGCCTGGGTGGCGCAGTCGGTTAAGCGTCTGACTTCAGCCAGGTCACGATCTCGCGGTCCATGGGTTCGAGCCCCGCGTCAGGCTCTGGGCTGATAGCTCAGAGCCTGGAGCCTATTTCCGATTCTGTGTCTCCCTCTCTCTCTGCCCCTCCCCCATTCATGCTCTGTCTCTCTCTGTCCCAAAAATAAATAAACGTTGAAAAAAAAATTTTAAAGAAAAATAAGCATCTAAAGCATCCAGAGCAAGGCGCTCAGCCCATGGTGTGGGGGCTGCCTGAGGATCTGGCACTGTGTGTGTAACCACTTGTGTAACGGAACACAACCGTGTAAAAATGGGTGTTTTCCCCTTCAAATGACCAGCCCCTTTGCCCCAAGTTGCAATCTGCGAGGGCCCCTCAGAACCGGCTGAAGTGAGTACCCATGGACCCTGAGACAGACTGGCTAGCAGAAAGACAAATTACCTTTTAAAGAAAATAACTTTTGTGTGTTTCACCACAGGGGGCTGGAGGAAATCAGTATATATACAATGTAAAAAAAAAAAAAAAAGTATGGAAAAAAAAAAAAAAGCCCAGAGGGGACAAAAAGCTCCGTAATCCCACCACCCAAAGATTACTGCTTTTAATAATTTACCATGTCCTTCCAGAGATTTCCCCTTGCTACAAATTACATTTTCAGAGAAGGAAAAATAAATAGCTAATGAATCCATTAGCAGGTACTTGTGACACAGGCAGGCTCAGAGGACTTTGACTATGAACGTCAGAGAGAGGCAGGCAGCTAATTCCCATTTGGTCAGGGGAAGATTAGTTTATGCTGCTTAGCTCAAACCAGAACTAATGGCCTGAAGTGTTTCTCCATATTTGGGCAAAGCCACCTGGTCGTTGGCAGGGGAACCGCTTTCCTTGCGTGGGCTGCAAACGCAGACAAAGCTTTCAGCCTCCCCCGCTCTGCTCATCTGTTGCTGTTTGTCATTCATCAAGTGTAGCAGGTGCAGAAGCTCCCGGCAGACACAACAAACAGGGCCACTGTCCAGCCTGTGGGGCCGCTCCTCACCCTTGCTTCCTGCAGGCACATCCCCTTCTCACCAGGGTCCCCGCCCCGGGCGAGGACCCGCAGACCGAGGGGGGTCTCACTCCCCGGTGACAGAATTGCCTCCGGGCCTGCCTGTGGACAGAAATAGTGTGTGTCTGGGTTGGTGACTCAGGCTGGAAGATTTTGTTTATGGTTTTATCATTGCCTTAATTTAATTGCTGCATAATGAGTAATCTGTAGACCATCCCTCCCACTCACGCTGCCCTCCCCTGCGCTCTTGGGGAGGACCGGTTTGCTGCAATCCTAGTGCAGCATCCGAACCAGTCCATGGGCCAGGCCCCCCAGTCCTCGGGCCAGTGCACTGCCCTGAGGGTCTGGGGGCGGGGGGTCCTCTGGCATCCTCGGGAGGCTCCAGAAGTTGGGGTGATCCCTGACCTCTGCATTGGGCTTGTGCGCAATCATTTCAGGAAGGAGGAAGAAGAGGAAGAACAGGGATGGCTCCTTCCAAATAACCCCCAAATCTTGACCAACCCACAGCCCAGCCCCCCATGATGTGGCCCCTGGGGAGGGCAGGCAGACAGAAGAGGAAGAAAAGAAATGGAGAGCAAAGAATCTAGGAGATAGGGGCGAGTGAAATTTGCAAACAGAATAGAAGGTCAGTTCCTCTTTGTCCTCTCCCCCAACTTAGGTCCCCAAGAAGAATTGTCAAAGGCTCTTTACATCTGTGGCTCCCAGACCAGCTTCAGGCAGCTATGGGGATCTAGTCTCTCTCTTTTTTTGGCCCCAAGTTCATGTTGCTCCTGGGGCCACAGCTGTGGCAAAGCTTGAGCAGATGCTAAGTCTGAGCGCTCAACTGACCAAGTTTTCCGCATGGCAGTGGACAGTCGGCACAGAAGGGTCAGCTCATAGGGGTGGCTGCTCATTGAGGAAGCCAGGGTTGGAGACCTAGAGTTTCTTCTGAAGGCAGCTGCCGAAGAAGGCCCACTTTTCTAATGGAACAAGTGAGGACTTAACCAAAGGACAAGCCAGTGAAGCTCTCTACAGGGCAAGAGAGTGGCTGAGTCGTGGTGTGGTTGGCCCTCTAAGACTAGGGTTTGTGATAAATACCCATCCAAATCTCAGTGGCTTAATATAGTAAAAGTTTGCTTTTCATGCACAGGAAGCTCAATGTGGGTAGGTGACTCTCCTTGGCAGCTTTCTCCCAATCGTGAGAGAAGGATCCGGGATGCTTCCTCCATCTAGAGGTTTTTGCTTTCAACCACGTAGACTGAGGAGAGTGTGGAGAAGTCATGCCTGCTCTTATGAGCCTCCAGCTAGAAGTGACACCTCATTACTGCTCACATTCTCATTGGCCGGAAGTGGTCACATGGCCTCAACCAAACTGCAAAGGAGGCTGGGAAATGTGGAGGAGTAGCTGGATATTTTGTGAGCATTAAGTGTCTTTCCCAAGCCTTGGAATTTGAAGCCTCTGGGTGCTTTTATTTTTCTTCCAGGAAATGGTTCTAATAACAACCCCTGCTCTGAGACTTATCGTGGGCCCTCCCCTCAGTCGGAGCCAGAGGTGGCTGCCATCGTGGACTTCATCACATCCCATGGGAACATCAAGGCTCTGATCTCCATTCACAGCTACTCTCAGATGCTCATGTACCCTTACGGCCACTCACCGGAGCCTGTTCCAAACCAGAAGGAGTTGGTGAGCTTGGCTGCTGGGGGCTTGGGGGAGGCATCAGGCAGGCTCCCACAGGGTTAAGGCCCTCACTCTGAAACAAGGGTCTGGACCAGTTGACCCCATGGTAGGAAGGAAAGGAGAGCTTGTTGTGCTCACATGTGGTCAAGTTCAAAGCCGGAGGTGCTGTGCTCCCTTCTCATGAGAGTCATCTACATATCCAACTTCCAGGACTCCTGAGTTCCCATTTCTCAGCAGCTGGTGAGGGTGTGGGAGCACGGGGAGCCCCGGCCTCTCACCCTCTGGATGTAATCTCACAGTACGATCTTGCCAAGGACGCAGCGCAGGCCCTGTATGAGGTCCACGGGATCCAGTACATTTATGGCAGCATCAGCACCACCCTCTGTGAGTGAGCCTTCCCCTGGCTGCTGCTTTCGGAACCACATCCACCGGGGGGGTGGGTGGGTGGGCGGGTGCAGTCTCTGCCAATTGGCAGCACTGGTTGGCCACAGGGCCATAGGTCTGACCGGGCTGAGTCAGAGCTGGTTTCCAATCGGAATAGAGGGGTGAGTGGTGGCACCCAGAAACAGGCAGCTGCTTCTCTGCAGCACTAATTAATGCCCAGCTCCCAATGCCTGGCTCTGTGATGGTCCCTGAGAGAGGAGATCTTAAGGGTGGTGGCCTCGAGGAGCTTTCCCTTTGCCGAGGGTAGAGAATGGGGAGAGAGGGCAGGGGGTGGCCCAGGTTGAGGCCTGGGTCAGGAAGCTTGATGTTGTCCGGGGTGAGTTGGGGTCAAGCTCCCAGGGCCCACTTACCACTCAGGATGCCTCTTAGCAAAACACCCTATTCTTCCTTTGGGGGGGGCATTTCTTTGCTCTTTTTTTTTTTTAAATTTTTTTTCATTGCCCTTTTACATCCAGATGTGGCCAGCGGGATCACTGTCGACTGGGCCTATGACAATGGCATCAAGCTCTCCTTCACCTTCGAGCTCCGGGACACGGGGCGCTATGGCTTCCTGCTGCCGGCCTCCCAGATCATCCCCACGGCCCAGGAGACGTGGCTGGCGCTTCGGACCATCATGGAGCACACCTTGAATCACCCCTACTAGCAACACCACCGAGGGCAGAGCGGGAAGGTTCATTCCCTTCCCCGAGGACTGGGGCTCCTCCTGAAACCCAAGTGATGCCTCCTGTTCCCCACACCCCAACCTTGACCCCTTAGGAGATAAATACAAGTTTGAACAGGCTTGATGGCCTCTGGGGCTGGCCACCAACCCCTTTGGGCTCGCATTGAGGAGGGGAGAGGGGCACTTGAAACGCCTCTTCAGTCCCCAGGTACTCAGGAGGGTTGAGGGGCCAGCCGACCTTACACTTGCTCATCCTGCAAATGTGGGTCCTCCAGGCCCACGGCAGACAACGCACCTGCTGGGGGCTGCTAGTAGGCACATTGTCCCCTTGGTGTTTGCATCCTAAGATGATCCTGGAGGGGACAATGTTTGATCAAAAGCAGTGGCTCTCCGGTGGCGACATTTCCGGCACCTTGAGGGAGAGGTGGGGACAGGCAGGCAGCTTCCTCCTCTTCCTGCTTCATTTCCTATGTTGGTAGGGGTCAGGGGTTCATTTCAGACTCCCCCTCTTTGAAGATCCCATTCACCCTCTAAAGGAGAGTGAACAAGTCACTGGTTTGTGACCTGCGCCTCCTGGGCACCCTCGCAGTCTCCGCTGGTCCTGGACAGAGTCACGGCCAGTCAGGGCCAGCAGGGCGAAGCCCCACACATCCAGGGATAGGAAATCCTCTTTTTCCCCCCTCTTTGCCACAGTCACCATGGTTGTCCTGTGCTGAGCGGTTAGTCCCGGCCCGGCATTTACTAAGTAAGCACTTTATTTAAGGGAGAATATTTTGAGATAGAAGAAACAAGATGCACCCCCTCCCAATCCCGAGGTTTCTTTATTTTTTTTTTTTTAGATTTATTTATGTATTTATATTATTTATTTTGAGAGAGACAGAGACAGCATGAGCAGGGGAAGGGCAGAGAGAGAGAGAGAGAGAGAGAGCATCCCAAGCAGGCTCCACGCTTGGCAACGCAGAGCCCGACACGGGGCTCAAACTTACGAAACCATGAGATCATGACCTGAGCCAAAACCAAGAGTTGGACCCTTAACCCACGGAGCCTCCCAGGCGCCCCTCCTGAGGTTTTTCCTAATACCTTCCGCCTTCCTCCACCCCCCCGGGGAGCAGAGATAGTGGGTCTGTTTGCCCCGCCCTCAGGGCAAGGCAGGTACTCTGAAGAAGCTGGAGGTCAACAGCAACGCTGGGTGGGTCTGTGCGCGTCTGAGGCAGAAAGCGAGACTTTCATTTGCAAGGGCCGGACTTTGGTTTTGTTGCAAAAGAGGAGGATTGTGGGCACCCGGGAGCTGGCCCCTGCAGGACACAGAGCACGGAGTTTTACTCTAAATCGCACACATGGAAGAAAGGAGGGTGAAGTGAGAACAAGTCCCTCTTTCCACCCTAAAAGGAGATAGAGGTTAAATTGGTAGATGGAGGGGATGGGTAGTGATCGGAGCTCTAGGTAAGACCCAGGTCCGAAAGGGCAATGGAGGAGCAGATTAACAATGGCCGAGCCAAGGGGTCTAGGCAGGTTATTAGAGTGTACCCACGAGGCTGGGTACACTCTGAGCTGCGTAGCGCTCTGAGCAAAGAAATGGTGAGGAGGCCTGGGGTGGAAGCAAGAAGGCCGAGCCCGGGGGCCATGCGGCCAGCGGCCATGGTGGCACAGTGGCCATCGACTGGGGATGCCTGTGCCCAGGACCTGCCATGCCATGAGGAGGCCTGAGCAAGTCAGGGTAATGAACACCTGAAGAACCCAGATCCTCTCCAGGGGAAGAGCCCAAAGAAGGGAAGCATCCCGATTTGTGCTGTGGTTTCTCCCAGGAGACAGATTTTTTTTAAAGCTGGAAGTGATTTGAGCGAGGTAGAATTTCCAAGCTAAAGTTTTCTGCTATTGGCGGGAATATGAGGCCATGGGCTAAATTAGTATAAGCTACAGATAAATAAAGCAAGTTATACCTTTATACACCGGAGTGCGTGATTATAACTTTTGTACCCTCTGTGCAAATATTTGAATTTCAGCCTCTTGGGGAGGATATTATCAGTGTTTAAAAAATTTTTTTTCTTAATGTTTTTATTTATTTTTGAGAGAGAGACAGAACATGAGCAGGGGAAGGGCAGAGAGAGAGGGAGACAGAATCTGAAGCAGGCTCCAGGCTCCGAGCTGTCAGCACAGAGCCTGACGTGGGGCTCGAACCCACAGACTGTGAGATCACGACCCGAGCTCAAGTCGGACACTTAACCGACTGAGCCACCCAGGTGCCCTGATATTATCAGTATTAATACGCTTGTATTTCAGATAAGGAAAGTATGATGATTATTTGGACAGGTTTTTTTAATGTTTATTTATTTATTATAAAGAGAGAGAGAATGTGCATGAGTAGGAGAGGGGCAGGCAGAGAGAGAGAGAGAGAGAGAGAGAGAGAGAGAGAGAGAATCCCAAGCAATCTCCATGCTGTCAGCGCAGAACCCAATGCAGGGGTCAACCCCACGAACCGTGAGATAATGACCTGAGTGAAATCAAGAGTTGAATGCTTAACTGACTGAGCCACCCAGGTGCCCCGATTCAGAGAGATTTTAAAGGCCACACAAGATCACATGAATGGGAAGTTGTCAAAGGGGTTTTGAACTCGGCTTTGTCTAACTCCAAAACCACTATGTCTCCATTTGTCCAAGTGTGACCTGTGGCCACATTGGCAGCAGAATCTGTGGGGAGTAATTTAATGTGAAGATATTCGGGTTTCATTCCCAGAGTGAAACAATCTCTGGGGTGTACCTCCCCCCCCCAAATGTGTATTTTTACCATCTGCCCCAGGAGTTCTGAGGTCCCTTAAGCTGAGAACCACCTGCTTTCCTGTCTCCCAGAAGAACACATTTGAGTTTCCCTGGGGGAGTTGGGGCCTTGGGTCTCCCACCTTTTGCCATTATCTGTTAGGGCCGAGGGTGGTTACAACGGCGGGACGCTGGTCATCCTTTGCCAGAGTATTGCCAAGGGGCTGCCTTAGCCTAGCCCTGGTCTGCAGACCACAGGCCTTAGCATCACGTGGGAGCTTGCTGGAAATACAAAGTCTCAGGCCACCCAAGACCTCCTGAATCAGAAAGAACCTCTGGGCCTGGGACCAGGTGATGCCAATGCCATGCTGGAGAGGCATGGCCCTAGAGGCAGGAGGGTCTGGACCCTGATGAGCTTCTCAGTAACAACAGTGAAAATAATAACCGTTTCCAGCACGTACCGTGTGCCATTCATGGTTCCAAGCGCATGACAGGTTTCAACACATTGGCTCCTCACGGCTCCGAGAAGTAAGACTCTCACTGTTTTTCTTTTCAAATCAAGAGGCTCAGGATGAGGATAATAGCCAAAGGGTGCCCAGCGACTGAGAGGCAGGCCTGGGACCTGAGTCTTGCCCAGAGCCCCTCGGGACCAGGGGCCAGGAGCTTGTTCTCACAGCCATGTTGGAAAGACCTCTGCGAGGCCAACAGGCTCACAAGAGTTGGGGCTGAAGCTACTTTACAGATGGCGGTCTTCTTGAAAGGCAACTTTCTCTTTAAAACCCTTCAGTGATTTAACACCCCCCCCCCCCGCCCCCGCCCAAGGTGCCGCGTGGCTGGCCCTGCACACCTCTCCCGCTTTGCCTGAACACCTTGGTCATCAGCCCCATGCCCTCTGACCTCCTCACAGCTCCTTCGGCTCCTTCCCAACTGGAAGCCCTTGCCTGTGCTCCTCCTCCTCTGGAACATTCTCTCCTCTAACTCTCCCTCCAAATGACCCACTCCTTAAAATTTCCCCTTCAGTATAATTTCCTCACTTAGTCCTTCTAGGACCATCCGTGAGAAGTAGGTCTATTCTCTTTGCCGAGGCCTTATGTACTTCCTCGATTACAGTGATAGTAACTGACTTCTTTGTTGCTTTGTCTCTGCCACTAGTTTGACTGCTCTGTAAGGGTAGGGACCACGTTCGGGTTATTCACCCTCAGTTCCCGTCAGGTGCACAGTGGGTACTCGGTATTTGTCAAAAGAGTGCTTCTCGTCCTTGTCCTCGTCCTCGTACGGATTAGAACTAGGTTTAGCATTAGGTGACAGAATGGCCCTAGCAGATCGGGGTTTTATTATTTTTTTTTCACGTAATAAGTTGCCTGAGGTGGGTAGACCAGCCCACCTGACTGAACCTGACTCCTTGGCGCGCTGGGGACCCAGACCTTTCTGGACTGTTCTGTTTTGTCACTCGGCCATCATTTTGACCTCCAGTCTACCTCCATCACGTGACTGAATTCCAGGCAGGATAAGGGGGCAAGGGCAACAAACGTGAGCCAGCGGCTGAGTTGGGCGATCCACGGGCTTCAACTTACACTTTATTGGCTGGGACTGTGTCGGTGGCCATGCTCAGCTGCAAGGGAGGCTGGGAAATCACTTTATAGCTGAGCACATTGCTGCCCCCAGTGAAATTAGAGTTCTGCTGGGAAGGAGAAAGGGGAGAATGGATATTGGAAAGACAGCCAGCAGTCGGCTGCTGCTTCTCAGAAGGGAGAGAAGATCTGAAGGGGGTCTCTGAATCAGTTTCTTTGCTCTAGGTAATCAAGTGACTGACTAAATGATTAAGCCACAGAACTTTCCAGGGCCCTTTCAAAGCTTCTGGCCCAACCCCCTCATCTTACAGTTATGAAGGCTGGGGGTCTCTGGACTCGCGAGGCCCTGCATGAACCTAACATCTGGGAGAAGACTAAAGCGAGGCCTCTTCTTCCTATGACCGAGGGGGTCTCCTCAGCAAGCCCAGGGACGTGACGGTTGGAGGAGTTTATCAAGTGAAAGCTCAATACTTAAACATGTGAGTTTTAGAGATATTACAGAATAATCTCTTTTTCATAAACTCTGAATATTTTTGTTTTTCATTTCTGGGGTATATAATGCCAAACAGGAGTTCAGTTTTTCTACATGCTGCCTGATTGGTTGTTGTTTTTTTTTTTTTTGCCCACCCCCCCCTTCCAACAAACTGCTCCTTTTAGGTTATGTTTTTTCATCCTTCTCACCAGTAAAATTTATGAGCATTTATTTAAAAGAAAAAAACATTGGAAAAACTGAAGAGAGAAAGAGTGATTATACATATGGAAAGCTATAAAGAACCACAGTGAATGTGCTGCGTTTATTGCTTTCTTAAAAAAACAAACCAGGCAGGCAGTTTGGAACCTGAAAGAGTCCTGTGTGAGGGCAGGCGGGTGGCAGAGGTGGAGAGCGATGGCCGAGTGGCCGCGGTCCAGGGAGTTCCAGTGAGGAGCCCTTAGCTCTCCCCACCCCCACTCCCCGCCCTCCGCCATCTCCCCTCTGACCGCCCCCGACCGGCCCAGAGAGAAAATGACTTTACTGAAATCATAAAATTAAATTAAAAAAAAAAAAAAAGCTTTTTCAGAAAACTAAGAAGGCCCAGACAGCCACTTGCTACAGGCTGAGAGAATCCAGGGAATGTCAGCCTGTCAGTGCTCCACACATGGGTGAAGTCAGGCCACATCTTGAGCTTGGGGGGGCAAGTCATGTTCTTCTGGGGATGGGGGGGAGGGGGCCGGTGTCCCGAAGGACAACTTTAGCCTGTTCCGCCTTCCAGTGTTCTCCTTCCCCAAGTATGTGGGACAGTCCTTGGCAACGACGACGCGTTCGCAAATCCGTTGGTCCGGCTTGCTCCTCATTCACCTCTTGCTGTCTTGGCCAAACTCTGTGGCTCCCCATCTGCCCTCCTGCCCTCCCCCAATCAAGTCCCCAAAGCACAGTTAAGAACGCAGGGTAACATTTCACAAAATTTGACCTGGGCATACAGAAGGGAAATACAATGTGGAAAGTAAAACCCTTCAACTGGACACTGGCTTTGGAGCTGGTTCGTGTCCCTTTGTGAGACAGCCCCTCCTTCTCCTCCACCCTCTTGACCCGGTTCCCACGTTGCCTCTCCCCTCCCCCGTTTTCTTTTTTTTTCTTTTTCCTTTTCTTTTTCTTTTTTCTTTTCTTTTTCTTTTTCTTTTTCTTTTTCTTTTTTTTTTTCTTTTTCTTTTTCTTTTTCTTTTTCTTTTCTTTTTTCTTTTTTCTTTTTTTTTACATTATGGGACATTCCTGCTTAGGTCTTCTCTCTTCCACATCTCTGTTCTGAGATTTCGCTTCTGACTTGACGCTTCCTAAAAACCCATTGAGTGTTTCTGTCTTTCGGATGCAGATTCTGCCTCCCTCTTGGAGACACACGCTAGCCACTTGAAAGTGGGAGTTCTGCAGCTTCAAAGTAAACAAATAGGTCCTACTGGGCGCTCCGTTAGGAAAGCGAAACTCAAGGAGGCTGCCACCAGGGCCTCGTCCTCCCAGCCTTCCATGAAGCCCCTGAGACACGCAGCCTCCCCCTGCGGCGCCCCCCCCCCCCCCTGCAGCCTCCGCAAGACGTGGCCCCTCTCCACCCGCACTGTCCTGGGAACACTCATCCATCACAGGCCCCAGGACCCTTGTGGCTCTGCTCTGATCTGTTCACAAACCTGGAGAGCCAATCTCTCCCCTACCCAGACCTGTCATCACGGCTGTGATTCGTTCGGGGGTACAGAATACAAATGTCCTAGAATCATAAAGCGTTACCGCTAGAAGAGACCAAGGAGATCATTCTGTCCTACTCTCTCAATATGTTGATGAGGAAACTGAGGCTGAGGGATGTGCACGTGATCTCCCCAATCATATAATAGGTTTGTGGCGATTTACTTTTGGAAGGCATTCCCTCTCTTGGTTTTTGCTCTTTTTGGAAGTCAGAGGCTGTGTTTTTTGTTGGTTGGTTTTGTTTTTTGGGTACGTGTGATAGACCCCCTCCTTCACCCCTCCGGGGGGGGGGGAAATCGAACCAATTGGTTCTCCAAGAGCGGGGGTGGGGGTGGGGTGGCTAGAACCGCCTGAATCACCTGGTCTTAGAGTCGGGAGGGGTGGTCCTTCGGAAGGAGGAGGACGCCGGGCAGGGAAAATGAGATGTGTACATTACAGTCCACCGCTTAGCTGCCTCAAATTCACATAGACTTCTCTTCCCATTCGCATGAGTGTACCACATACAGCCTGAAACACACGTGCCGAAGGGAGACAGCTGAAGTCTCATCCAGCTCCTGCATCCAGTCATTTTGACTGTGCCCATTTGTGCTCTCTGCGAGGATCCCTCTTGTCCACTGTCTCCTTTGATCTCCAATATGGGCATGGGGAACTGATTCTCCTGCCTTTATAACAACCCATTTTCTAGGTTTTAGTTTGGGGATCTTTAAGCATTGTCTTAGAGCCTCTGTTTATCATGCTTGGGCACTCTCTGGCAACAGGGTTGCCATGGATAGTTGTCCAGTTTGTACACTGCACAAAAACATTCTGCTGAGAGGATGAGGGACTATGTCTGCCCAGAGGGAGACTAATGCCTTTTCCCATTTCACATAAAGGCTCCCCTAAGCTAAAATTGTATTGTCTTCTGACAACACAAGCACTTTAAAAGCTTAGTAGAGGGGCGCCTGGGTGGCTCAGTCGGTTGAGCGGCCGACTTCAGCTCAGGTCACGATCTCGCAGTCCATGAGTTCGAGCCTCACATCGGGCTCTGTGCTGACAGCTCGGAGCCTGGAGCCTGTTTCGGATTCTGTGTCTCCCTCTCTCTGACCCTCCCCCGTTCATGCTCTGTCTCTCTCTGTCTCAAAAATAAATAAGCATTGGGGCGCCTGGGTGGCGCAGTCGATTGGGCGTCCGACTTCGGCCAGGTCACGATCTCGCGGTCCGTGAGTTCGAGCCCCGCGTCAGGCTCTGGGCTGATGGCTCAGAGCCTGGAGCCTATTTCCGATTCTGTGTCTCCCTCTCTCTCTGCCCCTCCCCCGTTCATGCTCTGTCTCTCTCTGTCCGAAAAATAAATAAACGTTGAAAAAAAAAAAAAAGCATTAAAAAAAATTTTTTTTTAATTAAAAAATAAAAAAAATAAAAGCTTAGTAGATGCATCAGTTAGTAACAAACAATAAACAATGGTGCTTTTTACAGTTAATATGGAGGAAATGTATATTCTTTCATATTATATAGTCCAAAGGTGGGGCAACAGACTTGGTATATCCAGAGAAAGGTGTCTCCTTCTCAAGAGTGGAGAAACATTTTCTAGAAGCTTCCTTGCTGGCTTCCTTTCACCTCTTATTGGCCCAACGGAGTCACATGCCTACTCCAGACCAATCACTTGCAAAAGACAATGGGGTTCCTCAATTGTCTTTTTTTTTTAATGTTTATTTTTGAGAGAGAGAGAGAGAGAGGGAGGGAGAGAGAGCATGATCAGGGGAGGGGCAGAGAGAGACAGAGACACAGAATCCGAAGCAGGCTCCAGGTTCTGAGCCATCAGCACAGAGCCTGATGTGGGGCCTGTGGAAGAAGGGAAGGACACTGGACTCTACTCCATGTGGCTTCAGCTGTCCTTCCTCTGTTTGCGTTCAGGCCTCAGCCCTGTGACTTGTCCAAGAATCTGCCTACCAGGCTGGTGGCTTCTTTCTCATACTAATAGGTCTCGATGGCCTTCATCTTGGCCCTTGCTTTGGACCAATGTGAAGCAAGCCACTGTGGAAAGGCAGTACTGTGACCCTCTGCCCCAGGTTTCGTTCTAGCAAATTGGTTTTTACCAAAAGGCAATTTTCAGCACCCTGAGGTGCTTTGGAGGGGCCCAGGGAATTAGGCCTAGCCTCCACCTGAGACCCAAAGTCCTCTCCCATTGTGTTTCCAGATTCCTGCCAGTGCTGGCCCTCATTTTAGCTTGCGGCATTGAATTAATCTTTTCCAACCTTGCAAGAAAATAGATTACATGACTCTTGGACACCTTAGATGGCTGGCTGGAGGCTTCAAGAGGCCCACTTGGCAGGGCAGGGCCCTTCCCCCACCCCTCCTCCTTTAGGCAATGGGTTTGTCTTTTCTGGAAGGAATTCACAGAAGGCCCAAGAATTAGCCAACACCCCCCCCCCCCCCACCAACATGTGTAATGTGCGTGAAACAGAGTCAAATTATAGGACAGCTTTAGAGTTAGAAATACAAAAAGAAATATTGTTTTCATAATGCAAACTGAAGACAGGCTCTACGAAACCTTTTTTCCTGCTGGGGGACAGATTTGAAAGCTTGAGAATGTTACAGGGCACTGAGAGATGAGGGGGAGTAGGAGAGATGGCTAAGAAACAGTTCCTGGTCTGAGGAAGCTTCTAGTCTCGCTGGAAGACATACATTAAGGCGGAGTAAATGTGAGTTTGTGTTTCAGCACCGAATAGTGTAACGAACACCCCTTCCTTTCTCAGCCTAGCAAAAATCCTGTCATTAAGACCCAGGTCAAACGTCACCTTCTTGGGAAAGTCTTCCCTGGACCCTCCTGGACAGGCCAACAGTGCAGAGTCCATGGCCTTACTGGTGCCTCTCACGCACGTCAGAGGAAAAGCACTGCTCGGGCCTCCTGCAGTGAGGAAAGCAAGCCAGTAAGACTTTTTTTTGCCCTTCCACCCTGGTCTTGGTGACGGCTTCTCGTAAGACCTCTTGGAGAACCGACATGTTGGTTGGTTACTTGTGTTTTTCACACCAGACCGTGAGCTCCCTGAGATCAGGGACCGGCGTGACTTGGGCATCATCCCAGGGCACAGCACGGTACCTGGGCCAGAAGAATGAATAAGGCAAGGGGTGAGCATTCGGAGAAGGGGTAGGTACTTGAAAAAGAAGCCAGAGGAAGCTTCGGGGAGAAAGAGGGTCTTATCTGGGGCCTGGAGGTCAGGCAAGGCTGCTGGAGTGGAGAGGAACAGTCTTCATGAGGTTCCACGTCTGTTGAGGGTGAATTCAGTGTTTTACTGTCTTCTCAGCGCTAGGCTCGGCAGAGAGTGGGGGGTAAATCTAATGGGGTCACTCTGCCCCAGCCATAGAGGGTAGGCCAGGTAGGGGGTGGGATAGGGAGGCAGAGGGAACAGATGGAAACCAGA